GGTGCAATCTCGGCTCACTGCAACCTCTGCTGCATTCACATGGAAGAGTCACGTCCCCTCTACTACGAGAGGACCTCCCACCAACCTTAGAGTGTCCCCCAGGGCCTGGGCATCCACCCCACAGCCTGTCCACCCTATACTGCATTCATTCCCAGGGTTCAAGTAATTCTGCCTCAGCCTCCCGAGTAGCTGGGACTACAGGCGTGCGCCACCATGCCAAGCTATTTATTTTGTTTTTGGTAGAGATGGGGTTTCACCATGTTGGCCAGGATGGTGTCAATCTCTTGACCTCATGATCCACCCACCTTGGCCTCCCAAAGTGTTGGGAATACAGGCATGAGCCACCACATCTGGACAATAACTTCTTATTTTGTGTCAATGGACGACACTCAGCTAGTGCACACCTGACAGGCAGCATGAGCAGCTTCCAGAGGTCTCTGCCCCCAGGTGGGGGCAGTTTGCGGAGGCTCCCCTATGGAAATCAGGAAAGCATTACTGTTGAATAACATGAAGCAGAGAGGCCCATCCCACCCAAGCCTCCAGGGCATCCCCAGTGCTGCCTGCTGAGTCCAGCACCTGGAGGGTGTCATCAAAGCTGGGCACGTCCCAAGCTGGGGGCCTGAAGGGGTGGGAGGCTGGAGGGCAGGGCCCACAGCTGCTGGTACAGGGTCCTGCCACTACTTAGTGGGTATAGAGCCCCCCTCGGCCTTCCTGCCACTCAGGGTCCTGCTGGGAGCAGAAGCAGGGCCCAGCCTGGTGAGGGTTGTGGAGACTTCAGGCACTGAACAGGGAGGGTGGGTGCTGTCTCTGGAACCAGCCCCATACCTGAGGCTGGTACCTCTGCCATGGGAGGCAAGGACGGGAGAAGGCAGCTGGGACAGGGCTGGGCTGCAGCAGGTCCCAGCGATCTACTCGTGGCTCCTTAGCCTATGCCTGCACCTCAGCTTCCTCATCTGGAAGATGGAGAGGAACTCCTACCCTGAAGCCTCAGGCAGGCAGTTTAACGAGAGTGCAGGGTGCAGTACAGTGCCTGGGGCCACAGCCTTGAAATGACAAGTGTTTATTCCTCAGCTAACAGGATCAGTGTGATGGCTAGCTCCAGGGACCAGGGGCTATATGAGGTTCAAAGACTCCCAAGCCCAGGGACTGAGCTGCCTCACAAGAGGCACTGTTGACTTAAAGCCAGAAATAGGCTGGAGAGGGGAGGAGGACTGGGCTGTGGACCTCTGGGCTGGGATGGGCATTGGTCCCACAGACAGGGTGGTGGGACCCATGTGAGCCTCTCCTGCCCGGCCCAGTGTCCCATTCTCCATCCAGGCATAAGTGACCGAGAGGCCCAGGGGCCCCCCATGGCCACGCAGGAGCTGAAAGCAGTGACCTATCAGCCCCAAGGCCAGGGTCCTGCAAGGAAGCAGTGGTTTCAGCCCCACAGCCCCACCTGGGAGCAGGAGCACAGGGCACTGTCCCCGCATGGCAGCCCCGTCCCACACAGGAAACTAGACAGCCAGATTCCCATCTACCCTGGGCCCAAGCATCAGCACAGCCTGAGCAGAGCTCCAATATGCCCCGGATGCTCACAATGGCTACAGGGAGGCTCACAGGTCAGACTCAGATCCACAGCAGCCTCACTGGGCACTCCCAGGACGACCACAGACCATGGGGAAAAGAGGAGACAGACCCTCACAGAAAGCAACAGCCAGACACAAGGCACATGCAGGGGCTCCAGAGCAGCCCCTCAGCCTCTATGGGGGCGTCCCTGGCTCGGGCTGGCATGCCTGCCCCAGGGGCTCCCTGTGCACACAGGACACAGCCACCCTTGCTGTGCTTCATGTGCAGCTGCGCCCCAACCATCCCTGAAACACAGCGCTCCTGCTGGGGCCCTGCCTTCACCTTTGCAAACATGCTTGGTTACGAGTTAGGACCACATTATCTTGAACATGAGCCACCTATGTGGAGAGGGCCAAGAGCTGGGGAGCTCCCAGCAGATACTCCCCAAAGGCAGGCACCTAGCCCAGGAGCCCCCTGCACCCCCAGCCCCCCTGCCTAAATGCTGCTTAGGGGAAACGCAGGGCAGAGGCTCCACAGGTGACCCGGTCCTGCTGATGCAGAAGGGCAAGGACTCCTCTCCCAGGCTCCTGGGAGGAGAGGACTGACACGGAGGTACCCTCTCTGATGAGGCGAGGCATGGGGTCACGCTGTCACGTAGGGTGTGGTGGTGGCTGCCCCACAGGCCTCAGAGGGCGGTGGCACCTGCATAGGATCAGGGAGCAGCCCAGAAGACCTCGCTGGGATCTGCACCAGCAGTGGAGACCATGGCTGTCTCCATCAACACAGACGCGGGCTAGTGAGGAGGGGTCCTGGGAGGAGCCTGTGGGTGCTGGCCTGTTTCCAGAGGGCACCCAGGGGGACTGGGTAGAGGTGGCTGTAAGGGCTCAGGGGAGGACCGAACTCCCATGGTGAGGATGGCGACAGCCTTGGATCAAGGACTGGTCAGTGCTGGTGGCGTCCGACCCTGCTCCAGCCCCGATGGACCCAACTCTCCATGTGCCTGATTCCCAGAAACTCCAGGAGACGGACAGGAAGGGGAATAACCTGCCCACACACCCCACCATGGGAAAGGAGGGGAAGAGTCCCCAGTGTACAGCCCACTAGCAGGGTGAGGGTCGAGGCTCCAAGCTGCCTGGCAAGGTGGCAAGCAAGGTGCCCAAACAGTGCCAGCATCTGATTAATGAGTCTTGAGGTCCCTGACAGCCTTGACCACCTCAACGCAGGAAACACCAGAACTCACGACACTGGATGTGCTCACGGCCAGGCCCGTGACAAGACATTCAGAGTGCAGAGGACAAACACAGGCTGGAGAAATCACTCAATGTGAGAAACACCGGGGACAGCAGAAGGGGTCAGAGAGCGTCCCCGCAAATCTTTCTTCATTAACGCTTCACCTGGAGCCGAGGGTAATGAGATGGCTATTAATGCACTTAGGTTTGCGACAGCTCCCACATACAGCCAGAACTAACCTTTCCCATGAGAACTGAAGGTCTAGGCCCTCAGCAGAAGGCCCTGAACACCAGGGGCCACTGGACACAGAAGGACAGACAGCAGGGGTCGGGCATCAGAAGACCACAGCAGTGGGTAGTATCAGTGTCTTGAGGGTGGTTTCACACATGGTGACTTGGCACCAGAGGGGCTGGAGCAGGCTTGAATGCCACCAGCACTGATCAGAGTTCAGGGTTCACAGGTGGTGGTAAGGACTCACAGGTGAGGACACAGCATAGCCCTGGGGCCCTTTGGCGTGGCCTCCATGCGAGCAAGGAGTAGCCAGTGCATTTGGGCTCCTGGGCCTGAGGCCTCCTGCACTGGGACCTTTCACTCTCGCCACACGCCATCCCCAGTGCCTGAGCCTCTGTGCCCGCGACCCCTCTAAACCACTGAACCATGTGCCAAGCAACATTCTAGAGGCAGTTTGGTGACCTCCTTCTCCCATCTTCCTTGAACAGCCATGCAGCACAGCTCTCTGAGACCCTCCATTACAATCCTTTCTCCATAAATTCAGCACCTCCTAACCTCCCATGTTACTTATGTTTGCTCGTTAAATGTCTCCCCTACTCAGAAGCTCAGCTCCAGGGGCCAGAGGCTCTGTCAGACATCCCCTGGCACAGGGCCTGGCCTGCTGTGTGTGCTCAGCAGCCTGGCTGGAAGGTGGCTGTCATCACGCCTGTGAGCCTGGCTCACTACTGGTGGACCCAGGTCATCTTACAGCTGGTCACTGGCTGAATGAGAAATGGACACAGCCGTCTAGGACAGGGCGACAGGCCACACCAAGGCCCTCATCTGCATCTCCATCTCACCGCAGTCTCTCCCATCAAGGCCCAACCTGGACAGAGTGAGCCCTGAGACCAAAGAGTTCAAGAGCTCGGCTGTGGCAGCAGAAACCACAGGCCTAGACCCTCCAAGAGGTGGCCTTGTGGCGTCACACACCAGCTCACTGACCTGAGCATGTCCCTTGACCCCCTCCTGGGCCTCAGTTTCCTCATGAGCAAAATTCAGGTCATAACAGCACCCACACCACATAAGTCACAGTGACAGTGAGACTGAGCAATGAGATACAGGGCCAGGCAGAGCTGAACAGCAAGTCACCCTGTGGCGGCATGTGCCAACAAGGCCTGAAGACCCTGGCACATATCCCATCACATCCAGGCAGGGCTGCACCGTGCCCATGTTCTCCATGCAAATCCTGAGACAACACGGGCCCTTTGACCCGGGCTGGGAACGGTGTGCTGGGAGCCCCTGGCCCAGGGAGTTCGGACATGGCCTCCACCCAGGCCCGGCAATGCCCAGCTGCTTCCTCCCCCTGCGCAGGTAAGAGCTGCTCAGGGCTGGACAAAGGCACAGAGCATCACGGTGGCCCATGGGCCAGGGAAAAGGCAGAAGCCAAGGCTGACACCGCCTCTCCTGGGAGGACCCTGGAGCCAGGAGAGGGATGCAGGCTGGAAGCCGTAGGAAGGAGGAACACCTCTTCCAGTTCTGCAGTGAGCTGGGTACCCCTGGGCCTCAGGCCCTGCCCATCAGGCCCCAACAGAGCCTTCCCAGTGGTGGGAACCAGAGCACTGGCACCAACTCTGAGTACCCGGAGACCAGGTCTTGGTACACACACATCCTTGGCAGATACCCCTCACAGGGGCAGGACCTTGAGAGGCCCTTTGACAGGCATCCTGAGGGAGTCCCGAACCATCAAAGGAGCAGTGTCCCTCTGTCACCCGCCTGCAGGCTGGGGCCACCTGGGACACCCTGACAGCTGTGGATGCTGCAGGTGCCACTGTGATAATTAACATGGATCCACGTGCAGAGGAAGCAGCCCGTGGAGACCCTCCTCAATGGATGCCTGCCAGCGAGGAACTGGGGAGGCCAGGGCCCAGACCTCCACCCTCCGGGCTCTGCCAAGGCCCACCAGAGAGAAGACCCCACCCGGAGACATGAGCCCCACGCCCGCGGCCCCTCACCTCCATCTCGGCGCTGTGGCTGTGCACCTTCTGAACCATGTCCTCGGCCTCCCGCATGCGCCGGGTCAGCTGGGGCGAGTACTCGGCTGGGGTCAGCTCGCTGTCATAGGAGCCCAGGATGGCTCGCATGCCGTCCCGCTCCTGTGGACACAGAGGGCAGCTGGTCAGAACCCAGGGCAGGGGAGGAATTAATGCTGGAGATGGCTCAGGGAATGCCTGATGAGAGCAGGATCATGTCAGGGGCTCCTCATAAGGACCCAGGCCAGCACCCCTGAGAGCCCACCAAGGTGAAGAGGGCCCCAGAGTTCGGCGCCCCCAGACCCAGTGAATGCCAGCAGCCCTGGTTTTGCCTCGGCGCCCGCTTTGACCATGCCAGGACTTTGCTGCAGCAGGCGTGGGCTCCACCTCATACCAGCAGTGTGGCTATGGGGTGGGCTGGGAGCAGAGGCCTCTGCCTCTGTGAACACAGCACACACAGGGCGAGGCTGCACAGTGGGCAGAGCCCAGGTTCCCCACCCCAGCCTGTACCACTGGGTCTGCGTGACTCCTCTGAGTCCCAGTCACGCTGGGCCCAGGGAAACGACAGCAGGCAGGCCCGAAGCTGCGTGAGTCCCTCTTCCTGGGACTTCTGTCTGGCCTCTGAGCAGACTGCTCAGGACACAGACAGGAGCCGAGGACCTGAAGAAGGAGGAGACACGGTGTGCCCCAGGAAGCTGCTGCGTCCCAATGGGACCGGGAATCCACCGCTCTGTCCACCCGCTCAGGGCTCTTGGGAAGATCGGGTCCTCGCTTTTCAGCTCTGGGCTTGGGAGCTCCTCAGTTTCCCACAGAGCTCCCAGGATATCCGAGGCCACACACAGTCCCCCACGCAGCAGCCAAGCTCAGCTCCCTGGGATGACACTGACCACAGTGTCAGGGCTGATTCCTAGAGCTGGGCAGAAACTCCTGTTCACTTGCATCCTGCCTTACATGCTGAGGAGGCTGACGGTGAGAGCCATGCAGTCAGGGGCACCGAGAGACACGCTCTGCCTCCTGAGTCAGGAGCCCCAGAAGACACACATTGTCTCTTAAGTCGGGGGCCCCAGGAAACACACACTGCCTCCTGAGTCAGGGGCCCCGGGAGACGCGCACTACCTCCCGACTTGGGGGCTGTGGGAGATTCCCACTGCTTGCTGAGTTGGGGCCCCGGGAGATGCACACTGCCTACTGAGTCAGGGGCCCCGAGAGACACACACTGTCTCCTGAGTCGGGGCCCTGGGAGATGCGTGCTGCTTCAGAGCCAGGGTGGAAATGCATTCCTTCCCAGACGCTGAGTCTGGGTGGAGCAGATTCCAAGCACAGGCTGGGAACCTTCTCTTGCCGGCCCGTCCCTGTGGGACCCCACATGGGACCACACGATGAGGAAGCCAGTCCTTCAGAAGGCCAGGTGTGCTGGAGAGCAGCTTCCAGATCTTCACGGGTGTCTGTGTGCCCTGGGGTCATGTTGCGCTTAGACGTAGGGCAGGCCTGGGAATCTGTACTTCTAACATCTTACTGATTCTCCGTAGCCTATGCCGGGGAAATCTGCCCCATTCTTGAGGGCTGGGGGATGAGGATGCTGGGGTAGCAGAGTCCAGGAAGAGGCAGATGGATATCTAAGAGATGCAGGTTCAAGTCCCAGCTCTGTCCTGAGGCCAGCTATTCAACCTCCTTCTCCAAGTCTCGGTTCCTTCATTGATAAGACGGGAAACAGGGTGGCTGTGAAGACTGAGGCTATCAGGAATGAAGCATCCAGCCAGCTGCCCTGGAAACAACCAGTATTCAAGAAGCGAGAGCCATAACCTCACAAACTCGGGAAATGGTCCCCACTGGCCCACATGCTGGGGAAGGGGCCAATGCTCTGGCCCAGCCCCACACCACCTCACTGTGCTTCAGACCTGGTGAGGGTAGGCGAGCTGTGGGACCGCCCCCGTGAATACTGGCTGAAAGGGCAAATTCATGGCCCTGATAAAGACCAGTTCACCAAGGCAGCCTGGGAAGCAAGACCCCCACCCAGAAGTGGGATCCACAAAATTGCCAGGGTCCCTTCGGTGTGGTCTCTTCTGAGTCTGCACCTACACGAGCTGAGCCCCCCCCCCGGCCTTGCTCCCAGGAGAGACCCTGCATGGACACCTGCTGAGCCCCTGCCAGGCCCTCTGTCCATCTCCTCACAGGTGAGGAGGGTGAGGCTGCGGGGGCTGAGGAAACCCCGGCCTGCTCTCAGGAGCCCCTGGAGTTCAGGCCACCACATCCGGGGCTTTCCTGCTGTCTTCCGAGCCAGGGACACAGGTGACGCCCTGGCATGAACTTCATAATTAGCTGATGACGAAAGATTCAAAATTCAATAAGTGAGAAATTAAAGTTACAAATCCAACTGGAACGGGTCACATATCTGTGGAAAATTTGTTTGCACAGGAAGGTTTATTGCGTGTCATACTTTTATTGAAATCCTATATCTTCCCATTGACTTTTATCGTTTCAAGCCAGTTACTAGAGTTGTCATTACCAACGGGTGCGGACACCACGCAAGGCTGGGGCGGGGGACTTCCCTTCGTAAACAAGCTGTAATTGTCTCCTTTATTGAACAGTAAATCTCTGATCGCTCCCTTCCTGATGGCTCTCTCCAGCATAACTCCAGGCTAGCACCAGCTGGCAGAGAAAACAGGTATTAGAAACTTTGTTGTTTGGACCCTTTCAAGAAACTGTTTTGTCACTGGTAGTGAAAGGGCAGCCACAGTTAGGGTGTGACTTGCTATGACTTTATAACAGCTGACTACACTTGGGGGAAAGTCTGCTTCATTTCCATCTCAGTAAATGCAGCAATGAATTGCTGAACAAACAGACAGCGGAAGGTGCTGACAGGGGCCTCCCAGACTTGCTCAAGAGGCACCCAGCAGAGTGACACAGTCCACCAGCTGCTCCTTGGGTACAGATATGTCCTGGTTCTAAGGAACAGAACGTGCTTGTCATGCAATTAACAGCCGCTCGAAGAGAAGGTGAGCAGTCAGCACCACACAGAGGAAGTTAGCTGAGGACTCGGGGCCTCAGCACCCTGGATACACCGGCCAGTGGGGGTGGGGAGAGCCACAGAGGAGGGAGGCTCCGCCCTGGCCTGTGATAACCAGGCAGAGGGGCTGCCCATCCAGGGAGGTGGCAGGAAGATCTGACGCCAGTCCCAGCCCATCAGCCACTAAGCAAAGTCAGTATACAAGTTCCTGCTCGACCCTCACCTAACCCCAGGCTCCACATTCCCATCTGTAAAATGAGGAGTTGGCCCTGACAGTCCATGTGTCCTGTCAGTGGGAACAAGTGGGGGACCATGCCAGGGCCACCATCTGGGAGTCACATGCATACAGCGAGATATGCTGGCTGAGTGCCACTCCAAACCCCAGCCAGGGTCATATTCACCACCCTGCACCAGAGGCCTCCAGGAGAGGGGCATCGGTGCATGAGAGAAGGTGTGTAGACAGCAGAGCCAGCACAGGGAGCACCAGTTTTGTCAGGCGTAGATGTGCCCCTGGCTGGTCTCCTGGCTGAACTGAGCCTTGCTGGGAGGCAGAGTGGATCTGACCATGTCCTGTAGACTAGCATTTAGCAGCCCAGTAGCTCTGAATCTCCAGGGAAAATGGGGAGAGGGAGGCACAGCCTCACAGTCTGTGGGGTTTCGAGGCAGTAACTGGCAGGAGGATGAGGATGGGGCCCACTCGCAGGGCCCTTGGGGCGGTAAGTAAGGACTCCAGGACAGAGGGCAGATAGGCCATCTCGTGGTCAAGAAGGTCTGGGGAGCTCCACAGCCCGAGGGCTCTGGTGAGCAGGCAATGCAGCAGACAGGGAGGGCTGCACTGTGGAGCTACAGCAGGTAAGAAAGTCCTAGAAAGGCACCAGAACCAAGGCAGAACATGGAGGCGGGTGGGACTTCCCGCATGGACTGCCAGCAACCTCCAGCCACGCTGGAAACCTGCCTGGTTCTCATCTTTCTGGGACACAGAGGGAGATGGGGAGAGGGAAGCATGGATGTCAGGTAGAGGACACAGGGACAGCCTGCAGCTCCGAGCGCTGTGGAGGCACTGGGTGGATGCCGGTGTCAGGGCGTGGCAGACCTCAAAGAGGCCCATCAGAAAGGCACAGAGGCCATGGGCCCCAGGGATGCTGCAGGAAGAATCTGAGTGCCCTAGGAGGCAGTGGTGGGGAAGGGTACTCCAATCAGAGGGAACAGCATGAGTAGGCGCCCAGAGGACCCTTTCGAAAGAGCAATAGAGATAATGACGCTTATCCCCTCATCAGCGGGTGCTCCAGCACGCTAATTACCATGGAGCTTTTGTGTATAAGCCCTAAGCACGCCAATGATTCCCACAGGGATGAGAGACAGCTGTCCCACAGAGGCTGAGAATGCCATGGCAGGGGGCAGCGCACCTGGGCAACAAGGGCTGAGACAGCAGACAGAACAGGACCCAGTGCCCTTGGAGAAAGACACCCAGGGCACATCCCTTGGGCCTGGGCTTGGGAAAGGCAGAGCAGTGAGGCCAGGAAGCTGAGACAGAGACCAGGGCTGCTAGCCCCAGGGGGTAGCAGGGGTGTGGGGACGCACAGGGCCCACACGAGAACACCCGCAGGAGCTGGAGACTGCAGTAGGCCCGTCCTGCTGGAGGAGCTTCAGACAGAGGAGTTGTGGATGGAGGCACCGCAGAGGGCAGAGACCAGCCCCACAGCCCCCAAGTAGCAGTCACTTGAGGTGTGCATGCCCAGGCCAGCTCCCAACTCACATAGACCCAACACAGCCCATGTCCTCGGTGGACACTAGCTGTGTGACCTTCGGAAAAATAAGCCTCTCTGAGTCTCAGGACACTCAACCATAAAGGAGAGGGTAAAGAATGCCTCAGGCTCATTGTGAAGTTCAAATGCAGCATTGCGCAGAAAGCCAGGCACACAGAGCCTGCACATACACATGGTTGTCACTGCGGTCCTCACTGCCGTCTCCCTGGTTCTTCTACTATGACTGCATCTACTCATAAAAGATGACTAGGAGAGAAGGCAGGTGGGGCAGGGAGTCGCCCCACGGCCCCCTGCATGACAGAGACAGCCTCTGGCCATGTCCACACCTGGTGAGGCAGGCGCACAGCACT